AGCTCTCTACTTGTCAAGCCATACATTCTGGACTCACAATCTAAAATATGTGAAACTATTTCTAGCTCTTGCTCTTGCGAAAAAACTGGACAATGGCTGCCCAATAATTTTTTTGTCCATCTTTGATATCTTATTTTTGATTAAAAATCGACGTTTCAGGGACATTCGTGGAACGCTGAAAATTCTTGCGGTCGTTTTTATAGGCATACCTCTTCTGACCTCCTCCAACACGTTTTTCATATGCTCCTCCTTCCAATTTTGCCTCTCAGTCTTACGCTTATATGTTCGTTGCATTTTCTGAAAAAAAAAAAAAGAAAAATATATAAATAAAATATGATAGTAAACTGCATAAAACCTATTCTCTTATACTAAAAATGACAAAAAGGGGCCGCGCAGGGCCTATATTTGCCACATTTAGAGCATAATCTACCGTTGTTGTAAATAGCAGCCTAAAAATTAACTTAGCGGGGCAAAACGATATCGGGATCATTTTACCCCGCATAGGTGGGATCATTTTACCCCGAACTGTACTTTTAACACATAACCTAAAATACTATTTCCATAAAAGAACTATCTATGATTAAATTTGATTATATCAGGACATGATAAATTACACCTAGAAGATTTAAGAAAACTCTACATTTATTAAAAATATTCACTGCAAGATATACCTTACCTTAGATCAAAAGCCCAAAAAAACAATGTTTCCTCGTCACAGTACGGATAGCCCAAGAGCCCACTGCAAATTTTTACCGTCATCTGATAACGAAATGAAATATACCCCAAAAGCATGGAAAAACATTGTACTTTACCAAATGGCACCTGTGCCAATCACTATCCTGAGCAAAGTAGCCTAAAAAAATTATTTTATATTAAAAAATCACATAAGGCATGACAGATCTAATTTCGTTTGCCCTTAAAGTTTTCCAGAAAATAACATTTAAATATATCTTGATATATATCGTTAAAGGGAAATATTTTCTTCCTCTTAACATCGTACAAAAACATCTATCCACGATTAGTAGGTAAATATCATTAAAAATATGAATCAATGTTTGCTGATTTAAAAATTTATTTGTATGCCTATTGTTGTGATTCATTTTTACAGGTTGCCATAGAAACGACAAAAAAACTACTATGATTATGGTTTAAAATAATTGTCTAACAAGAGTTTATAAATATTATTGACTATCTCTGCAAATGGTTTATACAATACCATCCTTCTTCCTTTCATACATAAACATGGTTTAATAGGTAGGTAAAAATATTAATAATTCAGGTTTAAAAGCGAGATTCGCAATGAATTAGGATTGTAATTTTCAGGGAAAACATAATTGTCGCTGTCATGTTTTATTTGATTTTTAGAATATAAAATAATTTTTTTTAACCACTTTGCTCAGGATAGGGATTGGCACAGGTGCAATTTGGTAAAGTACAATGTTGTTACATGCTATTGGAGCATATTTCATTTCGTTATCAGATGACGGTCGAAATTTGCAGTGGGCTCTCATACTAGGAATGCAACTAATACGTGTTTTAAAGCATCAGCGATCACTAGATTTCTCGCGTAGAACTGTTTTTAGTCTTCGGTTGACAGATGGAGCTGCTAGATTCGCTAGAAATCGGGGGATCATTTGAACCCGCGGAGATCATTTTGACCCACTCTCCCCTAATTAGAGGCAAATAAATTCAATGCTACAATAAAACTTATTGCAAACCTGATGTTTTTGTTCCTATACAGATTCCTAACTTAATTTAAAAAACTTTAAATTATGATCCATCTTCGTTGTTGTCTATAATACGGAAAAGGCATTAGAAATTACCATTTTGAGGAAATTTAGATGATGATTATATTTAATATTAGAAACACAATTAAATAAAGTCAGTTCTAGAACTTAAACGATCTGCGCATGCTCAGTTGTCCAAATAAGAGCGGCACTAGTAGTGGGTGAGCTTAAGTGAACTTGTAATAACCCTCTATTAATTCGTTTAAGAAATAATAAAGGGAATTAATCTTTTCAACTTTTTACACCTGTCTGTGGCGTATTTAAGCATTTTTGTTATTGGTAAATCTTTTAAAAATCCACACGCTCTTATCTTAGTTATTAGTTGAGATACAGAATTGATATTTGATTTTTTTTTGTTTAAAAGCATCAAACAAGAACTTTCCTAAACGAATTTAATTATTTAGTGACGTCATAGCTTACTTCAGATTTTTATGAAAATGACAGTAAATCACAGTTAATTTTTAAATGAAAATACCCATTTTTACGAAAATAACAGTAAACATCAGTTTATTTTTTATTTTAAAATGAAAATACCTATTTTGTGTTGTCGCATCGGCTATTGCATTAGAAGAGAGAAACGCCTACTAAATTGTGTGGGGATGGTTTGTGCGAGCACTTGATTTAAGAATGAATAACTATATTCCTTCTTTACAGCGTTCCTACATTGCAAAATAAATGGTGTACTTCCCTATACCTAAATCATCTTCTGCTACAATAAAACTTGCATCCAGCAAAAATCATGAAATAGATAATAACTGGCATTAGGAATGTAAATATACTTCCTTAATTTAATTTTGAAAGCCTTTTGGGCGTTTTAGAGCCTTACGTTGACCATAAAAAATTGGTCTAGTAGATCGTCGTTAGATAATTTAATTCTAACCTATTGACTACGTTATTCCTTCATACTGATATCCTGATTTTCCATCTTCTGTAAAATCATTTATGACGTTAACTTTATTCGAAATTTCTAAATTATATTAAATAAAATCTACAAAAAAATGTCAACTGCAGATATAACATTGAATGTAGGCGTCACCAGCCAAGGTTTTACGAGAGCAAGTTTATTTTAGTCAAACAAAAAATATATTTTCGTATGTTTCTATGTTTCGGATTGCACGATATCCTCGTTTAATTTAAATGTTCCACTTTTAAAAATCAAACAGATGATGGTTTTAATTGATTCAATTTAACGGCAGCAAATAAAAATAAACAGAAGAAGATGTTTAAGATAACATTATTTTAAGCTTACAATATTATTAATTTAATCAGTTGTGACGTAACAAATTTCTTTCTTCAACAGTGCCGTACCCTAATTCCTTAATAAAAAAAGGATATAATAGGGATATAGAGCATGCAAAAATATATTCAACTATACAGGACGTCTTAAAAAAAATTCTGATCGATTACATTTTTTTTAAGGGAGGGAGTTGTATGTTTTAATATTTCTAAAAGTAATAAATTACAGTAGAATTACAATAAAAAAGAAAAATACCAAGAACAGACGGACAAAGAATTCGAACTACGTGAAAATGAAAACACTGAATGGACCTTGGAAAAATTATGGGAAACTGTTCATAGAAAGTTAGATAGGATGAAAGAGTGGTCCCTTGAAAAGTTCAAACAATCAAATGCGGAGAAACTGCGTAGGTAATACGTGGCAACTTCCCAATTCGACACTGGGTACATAACTAACATAGACACAACTATTTCTTTTATAACGTAAAAGTGTAATGCAATAGTGCGGACACTTTTAGTATCATCATAGCATCTCCTCTTTATTCTATCTGAATAATTGGAAAGGTTCGTATGCTCCGCCCTACTTTATGACGTCACGTCTTGTTTATGTGCGATTCACATAATAGCGGTTACATTGTTTATTTGTTTATTTTGCGGATCTGTTGACCCCTCTTTTTAACAACAGACATTTACGGAAACATCTCGTGCTCAATTAGTATAGAGATGCCACCAGCCAGAGCTTAAAAGTGTACCATAAAATAGGAATAACATGTATGGGAATAATAAAAATATTAAAATTGAATTTATATTTTTATGTTATTTTAAAATAATGTGTTTTTATGAAATTTAACTGGGTGTTCACCAATAGAGAAACCGCCCCTGTAGAGTACCATTAGATTCCAAATTTTAATTATCATTTTGTAACCTGACAAAAGAAACTGATTTAATGTTTCATAAAATATGCATGTTGTTTTATTATAAAAACACTATCCTATACAGAGTAGATACTTTTTTACAGGGTTCAAAATGAAACATCTCATTGCAAATCTAATTTCAAAAATTTAAGAAGACAGACGAACTAAACAAAATAGTTATTTATGCAACAAGTGCAAAAAGTTAAGTGTTTATTGCACGCGACGTGAAATTGTCGAGCTCAATAAACACTTTTTGCACGAGTTGCATACAATATTTTTTCTATGTTCATGCAAAAACAAGAAAATGTTTTATAGAAATGCAGTTGTATTATCCAAATCATAGTAGCTGTGATCGTGTACCTTTGTTTGAGGCATTTATTTACGTTTGTATTCATAATTTGTAATGACATTTTTAATAAAATACATTTTTTTATTAATTTATTTATTAAATGATTGAAAATAATATAAAATATGCAATTGTTTTTAAAACGTAACACAGAAAATGAAAATGGACTAAATATTTGGCGTTGATTTGAATATTTATGTTTGTCATGATCATAAAACGCTGTAGTAAAATGACAGATGAGTGCAATAAAATTTTTATTGTACTAGTGCAATAAAGAACCAGTTTTTTCACTAAATATAGTTCAATAAAGTTTTGTTTTTTGCATGAACGTAGAAAAAATCTATTTTTACTATTTGCATAATAATACAGACGCTATAATAAAAATAACAAATGAAATGAAATTTCTTAAGAACAATTTCTAATATCGTCGACTTTATTTCGTCATTAAATTGTTTATTCAACTGAAGAACTTTTTATTTCTTATGAATTAGAAGATACCCATAATGTCACGGTAAAAAAGTATTAACCACTTATACTAAAAAGTGAATTTATCCAATATGTTAGCTCCTATTGACAATAAGATAAAAGTTTGATTACGTTATTTGAAAGATATATTCAAAGACTCAAAAAGATACGTAATGAAAGAGAATTTTAGACGTACAATATATCCAATATTTCTTTTGAAAAAGTATACAACTGTGCTCTTTTTATTTTCAGGAAGAAAATCCCCTAAGGTGCCCATCAAAACCTACAAGTGGGAAGACATACACAGATCTCGAAGAAGAGGAGGTTACCCGTGGACGCATCTGTACAAAGAACCATTCTACGAGCACCTTGATCCAGAACCTTGGACAATGGACGGTATGCGCAAAGCCAAAAGCTCCTCCACAATGGGAAAATCAGAAGATTTCTCTATATCCGAAGTGTCTACATTCGATAACAGATCTGCAGTTGAAGAGATCCTTGATAATCCCAGTATAGATATTAAAGACAAAAGTCATTCCATTAAAACTAGCTGTAGTTCCTTAAATCTTGAAGAACAAGAAATAGACGACGACATTGAACGCACATACGAAGTTATAGATAAAGAAGATGAAGATATTCAAAGCCCTGGAATGTTTTTCTTGCATTCTGAAGAAAGCTCAGACGATATTAGTCAGTATTTGGATAAAGAAGAGCGTGTACCAACGGAAGCTTCAAAAAAATCTGAAGATAGATTAGATCCGGAAGAAGTTTCAGATAGGAAAAGAAAATTATCGGCAGACAGCAGTAATAGCAAGCTAAGCTTGGGAAAGAAAGCAATTTTACAAAAGTTTAAAGATACCAAAGAAAAAATAAAAATACCAAAAATTACCTTTCACACTAAATTAAAGAAGCCCATTCTTAAAAAATCCAAAAACTCTCCTCCGCAAGTTAAAAAAATTACTGAAAAGCCAGCAGCCCATTCTACTGCAAAAGATATTAAACCGGTTTATATACATATACCCCTCAAACCACCTCCTGGCGAAACTGATCAATTTTCTGACCTGGAAAACGAAACAACAACAGATAAAAAAGAAACAAGAAAACCTAGCAGTTTTAGAGACTTGGTCAAGAATATTAAACACCTTCAGGAACCAAAAATTGAACATAAACATCCGTCGCCAATCAGAGAACTTACAGAAGAAGATTCAGAAAATTCTCACGATAAAGAAATAGTCGAAGACACTGTTAAAAGACTTACTGCAGAAGATCATCCAATAATTGAAGAAGTAGCGACTGCAAAAGATGAACCATTGAGAGATAAGAGTAAAGAACAAGATGAAGCCATGGAAATAGTAGAAATAGTTGATGAATCTAATGAAATAAAAGAAATTAGAGCCGAAGAAAAGACTCCAGATAGCTTACCACGTGATAACGACTTCTTCGATAAACTTTTCGAAGCATCCACTTCTAGAGAAAGAAGCGATTCTCAAAAAGAAAATAGAAAAGCACGTTCGAAGTCGGCTGAACCAGAACGTAAGAGAAAGCTATCACTAGAAAGCAGTTATAGCAGAAAAAGTCTGTCAAAATTGGGCCTACTTAAAAAACTAAGAGATGCCAAAGACAAGATTAAAAACACTCTATCCAGAGCGACTTCGAAAAAAGACATCAAAGTTAAAGAAGAACCTGTTAAACCCGAAGATAAGTCTGAAGAAAAACCTAAAACGCAGCTAAAGCCAAAAAAGTTTGTAGAACCCGTATACATTCACATTCCTCTCAAGCCTCCAGATGGCCAAACTGATGAATATTCACATCTGGAAAACGAAGCTAGGCCTATAGAAAGAGTTGAAACTCAAACTGAAACTGTAGCTAGTAGTCCAGAAGATACACATCCACCTAATGGTAATGTTCAACTAATTATACTGACAGCTCCGTCTGATGATGAAATATTGGATGACAATAGTCCCGATGTACCAGAGACTCCTGTTTCGGAAACTAAAGTTTTCTTTCCCCTCAAGGTACACGAATTAAAGAAGATCGCGCAAGATGCAGTCGAAGAAGTGACAAACGGGACATCTAAAACATTGAGTCCAGTTACAGAAGAACCGATTAGTCCAAAAAGTTCTCTTGAAGATATCGCTAAAAAGGCGCTAGAGGAAGATAAAAAGAAGTTAAAAGAAGATGCGTTGGAGGAAGTCAGAAAAGTTGAACATATGATGGTAGATGAAGAAGATGGTTTAAGTGAGACTAAGAAACAGGAAAGCGTAGTTGAAGAACTTAAGGTAGCAGTTTCTAAAGTGGTTGAAGAATTAGACGCGCAAAAAGATGAATCTAAACCTGATAAAAAAGAGGAGGTAACTACTGAAGAAAAATCGGAAACAATTATAGAAGAACCTCACAAACCAATCGTTGAAGAAAATCAGACCGCATCTGATGAAAAACACGAATTAAAATCCGTCCTAAAGAGTCCTAATTCACCAGTGATGAAGAAGAAAGTATCCTTCAAGAGAAAATCTAGAAGTAAAAGCTCCGAAGATGGCGGTCCAGGTTCTGAAAAGGACGATACAAACCTTGAGACTATTGCAGTTGATGAAGATAGAGGTGATTTGGAACACGACAATGATAAAGATAGCTCCAACAAGGAGAGTGATGAGAGATGGTCTAAAATAAGGTAAGTGATGGTTTAATTGTTACAGAAATTATACAGGATTTATAATGTTTAGAAATTGAACATGTTTGGGATAGAAGCTATCTTAACCATTTATTAAAAAATTTCTGAGAATCACTTTTCAAAAATTTCAAATGAATTACCAGATTTATTTTCTTCTCTTTGCCTCAATTCTCACTATTTTAAGTGTCATAAATATCAATAGGAAAAAAATCTGGAAAACGAGTTGGCCACTGATATTGCCAAAATGTATACATTGTAAAGCAATCGAAACAAAATAGATATGTTTAAAATTAGTACATATAGAAATTTACTGTTTTAACCGCAGTACTTAATGTTTTTTATTTCTAAATGTTTAAAACAAAAAACATTTCCATATTTAATTTATTGGAGGCGTCAAAACAACTGCAACAAATTTTTTAAAGTTCTTTTTCATAAATTCAGAAATTCTAAATTTTGTATATGAAGGAACTATAAATAAAATCAATTTAGTTTTCGCGGGTCCAATTGAGAGTCAAGTTTACTGAATAAATATACAGGGTGTTTCCGAATGGCGTCCAAATTTGTAGGGGTGGTAGTTCGCATAATTTGAGAGCGATTGGCAGATTTCATTTTTCTAAAAAAATATATAATAAACAAAAATAGAGCCATTATAAAAAAAATCAAAGAGCAGTCCTATCCTGAGCGCGTAGCGCAATAGTCCTCAAAAACAGATGCGATTTACAATTTTGTCGATTTTAAGCGTAGCGCGCGCGAGTCGAGGTGGTCCTATCGCTGAACAGGAACGTACCTGTTTATAATTTTTATTTCTTTTTATTTTAAATATTTTTGAAAAATGAAATCTGCGAATCGGTCTCAAATTATGCGAACTACCACCCCTACAAATTTGGACGCCAAGTTCGGAAACACCCTGTAATTTATTAGAGAAGTCCAATTTACGCACTTAAGTCAATTTTTCGAACGATTTAATTATATTTTTGAACTTTATTTATTTTTTCAATAATAATAATTTATGATGGATGCATGATTAATTATTCTAGTTTTCTAATGGAAATTGGTACATTAATAAATCTACTAATATTATGAAAAAATACTCATTTATACCTACAGGGTGCTACATTAATAATGGACCACAGAATAATTGGATAATCCTTGGCCTAAACATTACTTAGAAATAGCATAGTATTTAATAATAGACTTTGTTCGGGATCAAATAGGAAATGCTGCAGATCGTAAAGCCAGTATCGCATCATTTTTACGGGGTTTGAAATTAATATAAATTTGAGCAGCACTAAATTTGTTGAATTTTCAGTTTTGTGAAGCATTTGCTTTACTTAGCTTAAACCACGTAAACGTGTGTAATGTTACAAAAAAAATAGCAACATTAAAATGATGCTGGTGATATTATGACAAATCCATAAGACATTGCAGAAACTTTTAATAATTTTTCAGTAAATATAGGAAAAAAATTAGGAGCAAAAATAAAAAAAATCCAAAAAAACATTAACAAAAGAAATATTAATCACCATTCTTTTTTTCTGAGACCTACTTCCGAAACAAAAGTAAAAAATACAATTCCTAATCTAAAAAATAAAAAGATATCTTGTTTTGATGGTCTAATTAAAGTAATTTTAAAAATCTGATGTGTCCAACACATGACTTTCCTATCTAGTTATTACGTAAAAACAAAAAAAATCAGAATTTTGCACATTTTGTCAAATTTCTCGAATACGGACCATTTCAGGAAATTTTGACATAAAACAAAAATTATAGAAAATAATATTAGAAGTAACTGTTAATTGAACAATTTTCTTCTCCAAACATAAATAACAGATATATTCCATAAAATATAAAAACGGTCTCCCATAAAGTACCCCCCCAGATGTTCCGACTTTGTCCAAAATCTAATCATTGCACGTCAGGCCGAAATAAACCTTAAGTTTAAAATTTAATGTTTTTTTCTATATCCGTTTTTGAGTTTTCTTCAAAATTCGAAATTTACACATTTTCTCAAATATCTCGAATACGGTCCATTTTAGAGAAATTATGTATAGAATAAAAATTATAGAGAATTATATTACAAACAACTTTTATTTGAACAATTTTTATAAAAAATTATTTTTTTTACATTTTGTCAAATTTCTCGAATACGGACCATTTTAGGAAAATTTTGCATATAACAAAAATTATAGATAATTATATTAGAAGTAACTTTTATTTGAAGAATTTTCTTCTCCAAACGTAAATAACAGATATATTCCATAAAATAAAAAAATGACCACCTATAAAGTACCCCCCCAGATGTTCCGACTCTGCCCAAAATCTAATCAGCTCATTGGACGCTGAAACAAAGCTTAAGTTTAAAATTTGGTGTTTTTCTGTGTATCGGTTCATGAGTTATGCGTTATACAGACACACACACACACAGACACACAGACACACAGACACACACACACACACACACAGACATCATCGCGAAAATAGTCAAAACGGATTCAGGGGACCTCAAAACGTAAAAATCCGTCGAAAACTCGAGGTCGAAAAAAATCATGATTCCTATACTTTCCTTATATCTGTATACAGATAGGAAAGTAAAAAATCGAATCCAAAATCATGCATATATCATTACAAATTGAGTTTGCTAATTTTATCATAGCTCTCATCATCATATCTTGACCCAATGTATATTAGAGACCACCCCTGAGGTCCCCCCTTTCTAACAAAAAAGAATCTTAGAAATCGGACAATTTACTGAAGAATTATCGCTGAACATACATAAAAAAATATTCAAACGAAATTAGAACATCCTCTTTTTTTTGATGTCGATTAAAAACAGAAATCCTCAACTATATTATTTCATAAAAAAAACCTTTAGCAGATATTATAAATCGATCTTTTGAGACATGTTCCTTTCCATCAGCTAAACTGTCAATTGTAATTCCTATACTCAAAATATATCTCTAGTAACATCTTTAAGTAAAGTTGTTGAAAAAATTGTCAAAAATTGGTTTAAATAAGTTCCTTAATAAATGTACCCAATTTACTATCGAATCACAATATGGTTGTAGAGAACAGAAATCTACTCAAGACGCTATTCACGTGTTAACCTCTGACATCTACGAATCTTTACACAAAAACATTCTATCAATAGGTGTTTTTATAGATCTAATAAAAGCTTTTGACTACGTCGACCATTCTATATTATTAGATGCATTGGAAGACGCACGACTGGTTTGAAAGCAAAAAGTTAAAATTGAAAAACAAATTACACGCAGGGTACCTCAGGGAACAGTGTTCATGATTCTGCATGATTGTATTATCTAAAAAAATGTATAATATTATTAATAGAATACAATTTTTTTAAGTTGTTTGATTATTCTACCACAATACTTATTATGCAACACTTCTGTGGACATGTAAATGCTTATTTCATAATATAAAATTATATATTGTATTCCATTTTATATTTTTTTATAACGAATAAACATTATTATTATTATTATTATTATTACTATTATAGTTCATTTGATTTGAAATTTAAACAATTTCTGTAAAAATATTTGGGACCTTGACCCCATTTAAAAATATATGAGCCTTTGCAACTCAAGGCTGTCCATGTAAAAATATTTGGCTCTTCCATCCCTTGTTCTGCCTATGTCAATATATTTGGTCCACTTATACCTTAAGCGCATTAAGCGATGTTAAAATATTTAGTCGCTTTATCCTGTAAGCCTGTTAATATTAACCTATTTGGTCCCTTTACCAATTATGCCTGCCCATGCAAAACTCTTCAGGGTGTTTACCCCTTAATGGCTACCGATGTAAAACTAATTGGACTCTTTAACACTTAAACCTGCTCATGTAAAATTATTATTTGAGCCCTTTACCTTTTTGATCCTCATATCAAGGTTAGATACGAGTTTCAATCTGTAAATCATTAAAACTCGTACAGAAATCATTGTTACTTCGCCATCCTGAATGTTTTTCACCTTCACGCTTTATAATTACTTTGATAATTTAAAAATTGTAAGAGGCGCTAATGCTACATTACTTATATTATTTGTGAAATGACAATTATTATGTATTCTCTCTCTCTCTCTCTCTCTCTCTTAACTATAGCAGAGGCAGAAGTTGGAAAGGCTTTTGGTAGGTAGAGAGGGGGTAAACGTCAAACCACGTCGTACGACTTCGAGAATTTCGCAGTAATGTTTATCTGCCAGTGTCGTTTCATAGAATAAGTAATTTTAACTTGTTACCAGCGGAACTGGACAATCACATAAATAATTATTAAACTTGTATTATAATATCCAAATCATAATTCTACAAAATTTCAACAGCTATTCACAATTTATTATACTATTTACTCGAAATTTTTATTAACATCTAAAAAATAATTTTGTACGTCAATGTATCGCGCCCACTTCGGTTAGATCCGCCGCAAACCTGTCAATTTATGTGTATGAAGTGGGAGACCTAGCAAAAGCGTTTCCAACTTCTGTCCCTGCTATATCAACATGGGAGAGTATCTCCATCTCCTATGCTCGAAGAACGCGACACGTGGTTGATAATTAAAATTATTCAGACTTCGGTCGTTAATACATATAATATAATGGATAAATTCAATCTTATTTATACTTTATATTCTTTTAATTACAATAGTTGCTTTTCACAACGCAAGTTTCATCCAATGCAATTTCCCGCTGTTATATCTTGCAATGTCACAATATTCATATCTATGCTTAATTTTAAACGGTTTAAGCCCGTGGTGCAATGAAATTTTAATAAAAAGTTCCATGCATGCGAAAAAAATATTTTCCCATACACAATCTTTAAATTCACTCAATTTTTCTAAAGTCTGTTTTCATTTCAAATAAAATCAAATGTTTATAAAAAAACACAATTTTTCTATAAAACCGTATTTAAAATAACAGAAATATTTGAATAAAAAAAATAATGTGTTAAAAACTAGTACCTAAAATAAAAAAAGTTAAAATACTATGTGA